TTGGTCAGTCTTAGCAGCATTTTTCAATTTTTGCAAAAGTTTGTTGTCCATTTTAAGCATTTGCCTTGTCCAGTTCGTCCACAACAGCTTTTGGTAAAGCTGAAAAATAAATGACTTAAGTAGTAATGGATATATGAATAAGATGAGATAATAATTTGTTTTGCTTTCGTCAACAACAAATAAATTGCGAATACGCTTGTAAGAAAGTAAATTTTTTTTGTATAACTTACAGGAAAAGATTTCTTGAATTTTAACATCCTTTTCCTTCTGTTTCAGACTCTTGTCACTGCTAATTGCCAGAAGTTTCTTGTCAGCTTCTTGTGCTTCTTTGGACAGTTTCGCTATAGCAACTTTGTGCTCTTCTTCTGCTTTACTTTGATCTGCGATGACTTGGGCCTTGAACTTCTCAAAAGCATCCTGAACAAATAAATGATAAATACTTTTTACTTTTCTTGACTGTATACCTCGAGATACTAGAGAAGTGCTTGTATACTTTATCAAAGCAAAATTATGTCTGATAAAACAATGAAAGACAAAATTTTTATAAAAAATTGGCAAAACCTGTTACTTATCTCTTCTTTATAACAAATATGCTAATCAAACCGGTAGATGACAGTGTCAGAGCAATTATTAATTAATAGCTGAATAAATTGACGATATAAATGGGCAACAGACCGCATAATGGCCTTTGGTTTTAGTGGAAACAACCGTATCATAAACTACCATCTTAGTAAACGATTTATATCTAATCGTAATTTTGGTTGTATTCAGAAAAAAAAATGGCTTCCAAGAAGAAAAAAAACAAGGGAAAAAATATACCTTGATTTCTCCGTGTTTAGCAACATATGCGTTGACTTTGGTAACAATTTCGTTTTCAGATAAATCAGCAAATCCTGCTGCCAATGTTTCCCATTCGGCTACAGCTTCTTTGGAAGCACCGGCTAAGAATGGAGGGGTTTCGCAGAGTGCCAAAGCAACAACAAGGCAGAGTAGGAACAGGGTTTTCATAGTTGAATTTTTTTTTCGCTCTGTTTTGGAGAAGAGGGGAAGTGTCTAGAAAGTTGTGCAAGCGTAGACCCAAAGTCAGTTTCAGAATAATTTGAAACCATAAGTTTGCCCTTAAATATCTGTGGCTGTGAAGGCGGAGTCGGTTGTTTTTTAAAGAAGTTGCAAGTGACAAAGTGGGGAGAACAGAAAAAAATAAATTAAAAAAGAAAACAAAAAATGAAAAATAAATAAAAAAAAAAAAAGAATAGAAACAAGAAGAGATAGAAAAACTGCAAATTTCACAAATAATAGGTTGACGAAATAAAATTGTGCATCTGTGCCCACATTTATAAACAACCATGGAAAAAATCTTTTGTATTGATGTTTCTCATCTGAGGAATAATTTTTTTTTCTTTTTTTTTTTTGTGTGTGTGTGTGTGTGCATTTGCTACCAGAAGGACTCCGGTTTTGTTCCGTCTGAAGAACATCATGTAGAAACTGTTTCAGTAAAACCTTCGAACTAAACTACTCAACAATTCACTTATAGTCTCTTGTACCAATTTATTTATGTTTTATTTATTTTATGTTTACAAATTAAAATTGTTCTCTATATATATGTAAACTGCTTTTTTTTTGGTTTAGAAAAATGAGCTTATTGGAAAGTTAAATAAAGGTTGTTCAATAAATCTGTTGTTTTTCTTTTTTTTTGTATTCCGGAAACAAATGCCAATTATTTAGTGCTGGAATGTCTAAAGGTCAAGCATTAACTGCTTTACAGTGTTGATGAGTGAAAAACTTATGAGTGCCGATATTAGCTTATTAATCGTTTTAATATAGATCATATTAAGTAAGTCACTGTTTTAAAACATTTCTGAAGTGATGAATTTAAGGCCGTAGGGATCAATGACAAATAACTATTACATAGCTGAAAAAAAAAAAAAACAATATTACACCGCTTTTTTTATAAAGTTCAAAAATTAACATTGCAATAGTTCGATCAGATGTTAAACAGTTTAAAACCTTCGGTTTGGGATGCAGAAAGTGTATTTTCTGGAGCTTGTGTGCAGCAAAAAAGATATAATTTGTAGTTGTATAAACCGGTTAAATATTTATGTTTCTTTTTTCTTTTTTTTTTTTTTTT